TCATCAACACTGGATGAAAACATTCCGATATCAATGTGTAAAATTTTGTGCCACATATTATGCGATAGGGATGTTATCGTTCACATTGTTATACCCACCAGCTTCATTAGAGAATTTTCGAAAACGATTTCTTGGGGCTACGTTTTTTTTACACCTTCGGCATCATGGTAAGTAGCACATTTATCGTTGAATTGCAGTAAGCACAACTGAGTCGAATATGAGCATCTTTTAAACATGTACGCCTTTCAATTGTGCATCAAATTTGCATCCCCTTTAAAGCCTTTATGGGTTACGTTGCGCTAATAAGCCCCCCAGGTATGATCATGAAATTGATAGAAATGGATAGAGGACACCTTAATAACACGTTTAGATTAAAAAAATTTGCGGAAGAGGGCCTAAATTTTCCACAATCTTAATTAAAAGTTCACCTCATTTCATTTCATTTCATGATCATACCTGGGGGGCTTATTAGCGTAACGTACCCCACCCGGTATGCATGCTCTATCTATAACCTCATATAATTCATTCCAAATTTCTTGCTCCTTCTTACCTTTTAGTCTCTTTTACCGATCCAGCAGTTAGTAGTACACATTGAGACACTGATAGTAGTACACAGTGAGACATCGCTACATAATGCTATTTTTAGGAATGGGGGTGATACGACGATATTTTCCTTCTTTCTAGTTCCGTAATTATTTCCCGCCACAATGCAGTGTTAACGGCATTTCTAATATCTATGGTTAGTAGTGCACACAGCTTCCTTGTCTTGAGGGACTTTTTTACTTCCGTCTCCGCTATCTGCAGCACCATTTGTGCAGCGTGTGCTGTCGATTTTACCCCCACGAAACCAACTTGTCGTTTTGATAGTGAGGCCTTATCCTCTAGCTCCTACTTAATTCTTTTACTCAGGAGTTGCTCCAGCAGTTTCCCCATGGTGTCCAGCATGCACAGTGGCCTATATCCTGCCGGGTCGTCTACCGCTTTGCCTGGCTTTCTTATTAGGACTTTCCACCTTTCCGGGAAACATCCTTCTTGAAGTATTTGATTTAGGACCTCCAGAATGTATTTCGGTGCCATCTCTACTGTCATTCGGACTATTTCGGCTGGAATCGCGTCTCTACCAGGAGCCTTTCGTGTTTTCATTAATTTGTTGACTTGCATTTTTAAGCTCTTCTTTGGTAAAGGGTACTACTTCTATTCTACACACCGAACTTGACGCGGATCAGAAAATTCAATGTGCACAGCTACTGTTCTGTATGGGAGAACAAGCAATAGACATTTTCAATTCGTATACCTTTAAGAAGGGCGAGCAGAACAAGATCAAGATAACGATGGCGAAATTCGACGAGTGGGGGAAATATGTACAATACAAAATGATACTTATACGTGTAAAACAACATAGCATTTAAATTTTCGCAGCTAATACGTTTATAGTACTAACACCTACCGTCGAGGGGCGCTCGGTAATCGAGAGGGCACGTATTTTTAGTTTAAAATTACGTTTTGAAAGCCGTTCTGTATTGCCTACCCGTTTCATTTGCAATATCTATAAATAGTTCCTGAATATTTAAAGCCGTTTTGTTTTAATTGAGTCTAGTGTGTACTATATGGTCTAAGGTTAGTGTTTTTTCATCAGTTATGCACAAAATGACATACCATCAACGTCCAAAATGACATACTATGTCTATTCTGATGACGAAGATCGTGGGTCGCCTGTTACGTTTGGCGAGGAGAAACAAGATCACCTTAGTCGCGCACTTGATCCCAGTAGTGCTGAACAACATGGCGGACAGTTTGTCCAGAAGGAAAAGATTGGCGGATTGGACGATTTCAGAAAATA